AATGAAGACCTTCTAGTTGGGACAACCATATTGGTTATTTGAAATGTGAAGAAAACGTAATGTTTATAAGGTTTGTGTGTTCAAGAAAACAGCTCTCCACTGCAGGATTCCAATTATCTGGATGTCAGGTGATGCTATCACCTTTTAGGCTGCTGGAAAGCACCAGGCTCAATTTCTTTCCCCATTTCCTTTCTCCCAGCTCCTTTCTACCTTTTTCTCTCCTTTATTGCACCCACTCCTTTCATGTCTTTATTTTTTTAAAGAAAGAATTATTTTTATTTTAAATATATTTTATTCATTTTTAGAGAAAGAAGAAAAGGAAGAGAGAGAAACATCGATGTGAGAGCAATACAACAGTCAACTGCCACTACCTCCAGCACAGCCCCTACTGGGGATCAAGCCAACAACCCAGGCTTGTGCCCTGACTGGGAATTGAACTGGCAACCTTTTGGTGCATGGGATGATGCTCAATCAGCTGAGCCACACCGGCCAGGGCAACCCACTTCTTATATTTCACATATCTTCTGGGTCTGAAAAAATTGGGAGTATTGTTTTAGGAAGAAAAAAAATCCTCCTTATGGGATTCAAATTATATGAGAAGATAATAGTGCAAACTATAAAAGGAAGTTACCATATACCCTGTTTGTCTTTCATTAAGAACTCCGAAGCAGTCCAGCTAGTGTTGCTCAGTGGTTGAGCATCTACCTAGGAACAAGGAGGTTATAGTTTGATTCTCTTGGGGCATATGCCCGGGTTGCAGGCTCAATCCCCAGTGGAAGCATGTAGGAGGCAACTGATTGATGATTCTCTCTCATCATTGATGTTTCTATCTCTCTCCCTTTCCTTCCTCTCTGAAATCAATACATATATGTATATTTAAAAATAAAAACTCAGAAGCAAAATGTCAAGCCAATTACTAATCTACCTATGCTTTGGCATGGCTAAAGTTGGGTGATTATAAAAATCTATTAAAAAGGTAGATACTAGGGAAATACCCACTATGTAGAGTGATGTCACTTTATATGGAAGAATAGGCATGTACTTTGACAACTCAGATATATAACTGATCTGATATGCTAAGCAATGTGGGGTCCTTATTTAATCCCAGAGGTAGGCCTATTAACATAAATATGCTATGATTAACAGTCAAAATAATAATTTGACTTCAACTCTAAAAACTATAAAGCAGGGCGGATCAGGGGGTTGTGGCCCCACCCCCTGTCACACACAGAGCTGCAGGGCGATCAGGGGGTTTGGGCGCTGCCCCCTATCACGCTGCTCCAGAGGCCGGGAGGCCTCGCAGCTCCACTGATCCCAGTGCTAGGCCTTGCTGCTCTGCTTGACACCGGGGTAGTGAGGCCTCGCTGCTCCACTGATCCTGGTGCTGGGAGGCATATTACCCTTTTACTATATAGGATAGAGGCCTAGTGCATGGGTGGGGGCCAGCTGGTTTGCCCTGAAGGGTGTCCCAGATCAAGGTGGGGGTGCCCACCTTGGGTGCCCGTTTCAACTCCAGCTCTGAGGCCTGGCTGGCTGAAAGCAGGTTTCTGGGGTTTGTTTAGGTTCTATATTTGCAACATTGTTTCTTAGACTGCAGCTCAGAACCCAGCAGCGGCAGGCAGGGAACCTTGGCTTCCTCCTTCACTGGAGCAAGCGAACCTCCTGTTCGCTTCAGCTGCCTGGCTGCCAGCCACCATCTTGGTTAGCAGTTAATTTGCATATCTTACTGATTAGCCAATGGGAAGGGTAGTGAAGTTATGTTTAATTACCATGTTTCTCTATTATTAGATAGGACTAGAGGCCCGATATATGAAATTCGTCTCCTCTGCCCCAGCCCCTGCCTGCTGCAGTGGCCACCTCAGTCCTCACAGTCTCAGCTTCATCTGGAAGATTGACCAGAAGGATGTTCGGTCTAATTAGCATATTACACTTTTATTATTATAAATAGCACCTCAAGTACACAGCCCCATCCTTAATAGATAATAGGTGCTAATGTTGAATAATTACTAATTAAATATGTAAATTTGACATAATTTTAGTCCCATGAATTGCACAGATGAATATCAATCATTGACATTGTGGAAGTGACACCCAAGCTAGTTCAACAAGAAAAGGCAACCACAGTAATACCTGTTTCTAAGAGAGGTTCAGTAACCTCAGTTCATTCTCAGGTGTCAAGGGTAACAAGGGATGAACTAGTTTGGGTCCTGCTAAAAGGTTTACCTATGCATTACAAGAGTTAGCTATATTATTACAACAGTGGAACTGCTTGCCTTCATGTTTTAAGAGTTTCACTTAAAACCCCATAAAAATAAAAGACTTTAATTGAAGACATAACTCAACTGCATTGAAAGTGCATGGTGAAGAGATTTGGGAATGCTAACCTTCTTGAGAATGAAGACATATTAATTGGGCAGCAGATTTTGGCAAATATTTCTTCAAAAATAGTCTTTAAAAAAGTCATTATAATTCTACAAAAGAGACAGGAAAATTAAAAGCAATAGCTTTCCACAGCGGCAATCTAACTCCTACACCTCAAATAGGAGGTGCTAATCAGAGAAATAAAGTGTGATGGTGGAGGGGGAACAAGAAGTGGCAATGAGGACCCCTAACAATAGACACTATGGAATAAAGTGAATGCAGATGGTTCCACTCCTGTTACTTAATCAAAAGGCTGAGCAGAGTCACTGGAGCCTGCATGAAGTCATGTGTTAGAACAACAGCTGATCTGTATTAGAGAAGATTAACTCGCAGTGTCATGGTGGAGGGCCCGGGATTATTCTATGTACTACCATTGCCTTACAAGCCGTCAGCACAATTATTGCCCTCCGATGTGAATGACTGATATGTAACCAGAGCTAAACAGCATGCTGCTTAGGGGCCTAGAAGCTTCATGAAGATGAATTTCCATACCATCAAAGTGCTCTTAATGGGCTCCCTGATCCAACCACAAGGCCTGTTTTGCAAGTATATAGAACTTGGGATGAAGCCTTCCTGTCCAAAAGGATTTGGTCGGTTGTCACTTGACAAGTCCCAGCCAGCACAGGGGAGGGGAAGGGGGGGATAGGTAGAGTTGTCTCTGCTTTGGAGGATTAGAAAAAAAAAAGAGGGTACAGATGCTTGCTGAATGCAACCAACTGCTGTATCCACAGCTGAATTCAATGCACTTAACAAATAACGGCAATTTAGCTATGCTTGCGAGGAATAGCTCGAGTCACTTTGCATTAGCATCTGGCTGAGTGTTAAACTCATTTCTACATGGGGAGCAAAAAAAAAAAAGGAATTTCTGTTCAAGCATCCTTTCAAGAATGTTTAAATATTTGAATATAAATTCCTTTATGCTTGCGACCCTCCCTTCCTTCTTGGAGCTGTCACTTCGCTTTGCCTCCTCTTTGACGCTTAGCTAGAGAAAGGTTGTCCCCTTCTTGCTGTACCAGCACCTTCTCACATTGTGAGATTGCAGGGGATGAGAGACTGATCCACGATCAGCTCTCCCCTCCAGAAACAGAACAGGCTTGAAAGAGTTTCTTCCACCTTTTGACCCATGTTTGGACCAGAAAAAAGGTAGGGTTGTGACAGGGTCATGCATATATTTCCTTTCACTATGCAGATTGCTAGCTACTTAGAGTTTATACATCGAATTCCATATAAAACCTGGGAACCCAGGAACCTCTCCAGACTAGCAAACTGCTCATTCTGTACAGTCCTGTTTGACTCATGTTTCCCAGTTTATTGCTAAGTAGCTGATCATTTCCCCCCTCTTATCTATTCTGTCTATATAGCTAGAGGATTGTTTTCAGGAGATTCAAAAACACTTTAAAATTTCATTTCAAAACATATCAAACATTACCACAAGAAGTAAACCACTTTGAGCTTTCTAGAATTTATAATATTTTTCTGAAAATAATATAATGTATTTTAGACAAAACAAGTTTAAAATTGTCACATTTCAGAAAAATTCAGAAGTTTCAATGGGCTTAGGTAGAAGAATAATGTCCAAGTTTTAAAAATCACATTTGTTTTATGATAAAGTCAAATTTGCCAGCTGTGCCAGCCACCTAAAACTTGACAGTGTTTTGCATTAGAAACATATGACCAGCTCAGGATCCTAGATGCTTAGACTATGAGCATGGGCATCATCCAAGCTTATGCTGGTTAAAGAAGATCCAGCATTTTCAAATCCAGCTCATCCCCAAATACAAGTTAAGCATTTCTGGGAAGCAGAACTTTCACTAAGATTCAGCTATCTCAAGTGCCATTTCATTTCAATACAAATGGAGGGCAGAGAAAGATATTAATTGTCAATAAGGTTTGAAGATGAAAACAAGAGAAATACAAGCCTGCCTATTTGGGGCTGGTTTTGATTCAGATGGACATGGAGATTTCTGTATTGACAAAGGAAAAAGGGAGGAGGACTATTACTCTGAGATGATGAGAAGATGAAAAGATAATAAAGAAGAAAAGCATTCAGGCGATTTAAGTATTTTCGGAAAGCCAGGTATTTTAAGAACTAACCTTTTCTGTCCGGCAGTTATTGAGACCTAGACTGTTCACAACAGCCACCTTCCCATCAAGCACCTGTTGCTCCCGCCGAAGTTGCTCCTTCATTTGCCGCGCTTCTTGGATTGCCTTGGTGACAGCATCATGGTCATTTAAATAACCTGAAGATGCAACAGAACAAAGACTATATTTTGTACAAATTCATGGAAACCTTAACCATAACAATCACTTCTTTTTTGGGTAGTGGCTGGTGTCTGGCATATAATAATTTCTCAGTGGAATTTGTCTAAATGAATGAATAAGTCATACATGAACATATTGCCAAACATCTGTAATTGAAGCATAATACTAAGTGAAAGGTAGCTGTTTCCACACACTTGAAAAGAAGTTTGAAATATAGTTTTTAAAGAAACTATTTTTTCATTATCTGAATATTTTGTAGTGCAAAAATAAAACCTATCTTTGATTTCTTTTCATGTAAGATTTCTTTTAATGTTACCACAAAATGCAGATATTGATAATTATCACTATAATTACTGACACTCTCATAGCATTAAAAAGGCCAATTTAAAGTTTGGGCATAGCACTTCCAGGTTGTTATTTAAAGGAAAAATAAATCATTATTAACTGACAAAGAAGAGCATTTTGGCCCTGAATCGGATTACAGTGAAATAAACCCCAGGTGGCAGTGGTTTGCTATGGATACATACTTGTAATAGTTAAGAGGCTAAATTTCAAGCACAGAATGTAACCAAGCACCTGTAATTGTTTGATTTAAAAAAAAATGTGGCTACTGGTAAGAATAGTCACACAATTCATACTCTTAATAAGATGGTCAAATGACCAGCCTGTATCTGCAGCTCTACAATCCAGAGTTAGAAAACAAGAAAAACAAAACAAACAAAAACACTGCCAAATATGTCTTTTAAAGAATAACAGGTGTAAGGAGCAAAACATTTTTAAATTTAATTTTAACACTGGTCATTTTTTTATTTGATGCCCATTATTATGATAATCTGCATGATCTTAAGGTAGAGTACCAATGAGAAAGGATTTGTTTCACAAATATTGAAAGGCAAGCTAATATCTCATCTTTCGCTCTCCCTATCTTTTAACTAGGGCATAAAATGGCATAAACTAAATCTATAATATGATATTGCCCAGAAAAGGGACTTGTTTGTGACATGAGGCTAAATCTAACCAGATCCATTGGTGTATGGTGACAGATGGAGGGACTGTGAGACAGAAGGCAGGCACTAATCACACATAAAATGACCGGCTTGCCTCAACATGTTCCGTGGATTCCAGCAAACTTTACACCCTAATCCATTTTTAGAACAAAAAACATCTGGGCCATAAATCCTCTAATCTGCCAAAACACGCTATTAAATCCCATGATTTGTTGAAAAACACTAAGATTAAAGAAAGGAAATATAAAATGGCTAGCTGCCGTGTTAGGAAAGTGTTATTAATACTATTTCTTTGTCTCAATTATGAATGTTCTGGTACTAAAGAGCCTTGTCTAATCATGTCAGATTACACATCCTCGTTGTATAGCGAGGCTCTTCTATCTGATCTGCTGATTGCCAAAACACATAGAAACCCACTTGCTGCCTAGACATTTCTATTGAAGAAGCTGATGTGAGATTAGGGCAGCGCTGCCTCCCCCCACCCCTTACTGTGCACAGACCAGACCTTGTCCTCTGCTTTCCTTCAAGCAGAAAGAGAAGTTCTAGGGCAGTCCGTGCAAGAGGAAGCCTGGACCTACTATGCAGGGTGGGGCAAAAGTAGGTTTACAGTTGTGAGTACGTGAAACAGCTTATTCTTATTTGTTAATTATTGTCTTATTTTCCATATGAACAACTGACTGAAGGTCAGACCTACAAGGTTAATATTTACTATAAAAGATGGTTGTTTTAACATTATATTATGCTGACTTGGACAAGCGTCTTGATATATGATTCTTGAGGTATTCTGTTCATAAATACTTGTGAAGGAAAAATAATTAATATAGATGCAAAATGAATGCAAATTGTTACAGGATAAATGACTGATGGACATATGCTCTGTCATGGGTAGTTCCAAGTTAAGGTATGTGTTCCTGTGCAGGTGGAAATAGAAGTTTACTTTCAAGTTTTTTACTTGCTCTTAGAGACTCTTGAGTTTTGGTTAACATGCTATCTGGAATTCTAACATTTGTACCTCTTGTGTTAAATCATAAAAGCCATTTATATACCACAGACTGAATCTTAATGGGATTATTTGGTGGTTCTTTACATTTTTTTCTAATCATAGTCACCAAATTTCCACTCTTGCTGACTCCCTCTCTTGGCAAATCGTCTGGCCTCTGATTTTGAAAAGACCAAAAAGACAGAATTTCACCTTCCTGCTCCTTACCCTACCCCCGCCCATTGTTACCCCACGCAGCTTCAAATCTCTCTCTATTTATGCCTCTTCTTGTGTCAGTAAAAATGTGCCTCTGTTTTCATTCAAGGCAAATCCCTTGCACTCATGTTCTAGATTCCTACACCTCATCATCGGTTATTTTCTTTCACATTTGTCATCTGCTCTTCTCTCCCATCTCCACCATCTCAACATGTAAGTACCTAAGGTTCTCTCCTAAAACAGGCACACAAAGTCTCTCCCTCCTTGTTGTCCCCTTGTTCCAGCTCTGACTCTCTACCTTCTAAGCCAAGCTTCTCAAAGATTCAAATTCTCCTGTCCCTTCCTCACTCTCCCATTCCTGTTACAATCTTGTTCCTGCTTGCTGTATTCTTTTAATTGCCAATCTAAGGGGCATTTTCCATTCTCTGCAGAATGGCCGCACTCACCATCGCCTCATTGAAATGCCTTCCTTCCTTGTCTCTCATCATAGCACAGGATCCCCTCTTCTCTCCGACTCCTCCATCTATACATCCTTTCCTGGGATCCTTTCTTCACCTGCTCTTTAGATTGAGCTTCAGGGTTTCAACCCTCAAGAGAAGTGTGTGTTTTAGAGTTGGACAATGCTGAAGTAAAATCCTAGCTTTGCCTCTTACTAGCTATATAAATTGCAAAAGTTATTTCACTTTTCTAAGTCTCAGTGGTCTCATTGGTCACAACGAAAACGTTGTGAAGATTAGATGAGTTAATCTGTTTTTTTTTTAGTATCACAAGTGGTCCCTGACATTCTGTAACTGGCAGTTCATTTGCCAAATAGCATTAGTGAAACAGAGAAGATTTGGGCATTGGGTTCAGATGGATCTGGGTTTCTAATTCTCAGAAAATGTGATATTTGACAAATTATAATAATCTCACCGAGTTTCCATTTCCCTCACCTGTAAAATAAATGTAACCCCAATGGAAGAATTACATAAAATAATACATGTGAAGGTGTATATAGCTCTTGATATCTGAGAAGACAGCAAAAAGCATTATTCCTTTTTTTTCTTTCTGCTTTCATTTCCAAGATATGTGTACCTCAGCAGTCTTGTTATGATAAAGTCCAAGAGGAGGTGTCATTTCTTGTTGAGAGAGAGGTTCAATTAAATAGAAATCCCCCATCAGAGTCCAAAAAGACCCAAAATGATAACCTGATACATCTGATTCTTCCTTCATTATATACTGAGGCAGCGATTGTATCTACAGGCAGGATTTGAAGATGGGCATGTGTTTAGGAGCGACTCAGTGAACCTCAATCTTGGGAGGGAAGTGAGAGGACAAAGGCCAGTATGGCTCCAGTTGACATCCCAGATGAGACGTGGGAAGCACAGGTTAGGAATTATCACCAGAATCACCAGATTCTGTAATCTTATACAATGTACCACAAATTGATATTTTGCATCTCAGTGTTGCTTCTTAACCACTAACAACAAAATTCTTAAAATTAAAAAAGACCCTTTTATATATTTTCAGAGGCAGAAAAAAAATGGGCAAATGGGCAACTCCAATCTTAGCAAGGGTAAAATTAAACAGAAAAAGCGAGTAATGGCTTCTCCACAATGAAAATAAACCAACATTGAAAGGTAGGAGGAAAAGCAGGAAGTACCTGTAAGGGGTTAAGTTATGTCTCTCAAAAGGAAATGTCCCTGTCTCAGGCTAACCCCTGGTATTTGTGAATGTGACTTTATTTGGAAATACAGTTCTTAACAGACTCTATTGAAATGAGATCACCCTGATTTAGGGTAGGCCTTAATCCAACCACTGGTGTCCTTATGAGAGAAAGGAAACTTTGACATAAGGAGACACAGGGAAGAAGGTCATGTGACTATGGAGGCAGAGATTGGATTTTGCATCTAAAAATCAAGGAACACTAAGGACTGCCAGCAACCACTAGGAGCTAATCAAGAAGCATGAGACAGATTTCCCCTGACATTCCAGAAGGAACTAATCCCTACTGACACTTTGGCTTTGGATTTCTAGCTTCCAATCAGTGATAGAATAAATTTGTTTCAAGCTACCCAGTTTGTGATTGGTTGCATCAGCCTTAGAATTCAATAGATCACATTTGGTCCTAAACATAATCCTAAGACTCAAGGGGTAATTCCTAGTACTGTGAAATATCTGCTGTCTGACTCAAATCCTTATTCCTGGTTACATACATCTGCCTCCTAAGGACGCCATGGGACTACTTGAATGTCCCATGAATATCTGAAACGCAGCGTGTCTAGAACAGAATTCATCATCTCCCACTTCCTCAATCTGTTCTTTCTACACCCATAGCCCATGCCAGTTGCCCATGCCATCACCTGGGAGTCATCTAAGACACCTCCTTTACCCAAACATATAAAAGGCAACCACAACCGAGCCCTGACAGCTCTGTCTGCTCCTCGCTATCACATGTGCTTTTTCTTGATCCCCACATTTCCTACGTTTGCTGAAGCCACCTCATAGCTTACTTGGGCTAATGCGATAACCTCCTAACTGGTTTCCCTATCTTCAGGCTTACGCCCTTGAATCCATCTCTTACTCTGCTTGCAGATACAACATTCCAAAATATCCCAAAGCAAGGAATTTGGATCATATCACTTTACCTGATTAAAAAGCTCATCTCTTGGTACCCCAATGCTTAAGGGAGCATTATAAGATGATGATTTTCTGAAGCAAAATGACCCCAATGTTCCAATAAATGTGGAAAATACTAATGAAAGTTAAAAAGGTTTCTTCAATGCACAAATTCTCAAAATCTTGAATATGTTCATGTGCATCGTGGATCTGCAAGAAGTAACAATAATATGCCTTTCCCAAATATACTGAAACAGGAAACACTTTAATGCTCCCCACGAAACGTCATTCTAGGATAAACTCCAAACACTTTAAAATGGCCTAAACATCTCTTCATGATGTCAGCTCTGCTTATCTTTCCCGGGTCATTTCTTTCTGGTCTCTCAGGAGTTCTGTGCTGCAGGGAACTATTTCCTGTTCTAAGGACAGCCTTCCTCCTCCCTCCCACCTCTTTCTCCCAAGCTTGTCTTTTACTGTAATTCGTTCTCTTTCTGGTGTGTTTGGGAATTTATTTAAATGTCACTCTTCTGTAAGGACTTTGCTGACATACCCCAGACATAGTCCTTGGCAGCAGTAGTACTTCCCATTTATCTGCTCCTTCAAAACCTTGTAAATGTTCTTACTGTGTCATTGTAGCTCGTTTTCTAAATTTGTCTTTCACACCAGTCTCTGAACTCACTACTTGAGGGCATTTTTTTTTCTTTTAGTCTTTTATTCCTTTGGCCCATGGCAGACTGTTGAAGGAATAAATGCACATTTCTAAGTTGAAAGTTTCCAGTTTAGAATTCCAAGTTCATTGATTTTCTATGTCATCATATCAATGGAAGCCTGTACTATATATCATGGATTTATTAAAATTCATGAGCTTAATAAATGCTATCAGGGCAATAAAATTCTTATTTAGTACATACTTATTTTACATTTGGATTTTCAGCTATCAGTAAAAGTAAAGGGCCAGGTGTTTTAAATTATTTTCAATACATATTAATATTTTTTTTACGATTTTTGACATCATATCATCATCAAATTTTGGGCACCTTGTTATTTCTTCACATGTGAACTCTCTCAAAAATTAGTAGAATAATAAACATGAATGCAAGTTGTAAATTGTAAAATGTTTTGTGAATGTTAATTGCCAGATGTTGAATGATACCCCTAACTTCCTGATAATCCAATGGCTACCTATGTAACTATTACACAATTCTTGTTCAGTAACTTACCCTCAGAAAAAGTTTTTCTCATAAAAAATGTAAATGTATTTGAGCTAATATTGGCATCCTTCATGGCATCATATTTTAAATGAGCAAGTTGCAGAAATAAAATACCAAATTAATGGACCTCAAAGTGTTTCCCTTCATCTTACTGAATCTGTGTGTGTACATACATTTGCTCAGGCAAAATTTTACCTATCCATCAGGAATGAAGAGTAAGAATAATATGTTTTAGTGTTTTAGAGATGATAGAACAAAGACCATGGCATCTAAACCTCAGTCCAACTCTTTCACCTGCTTATACTCCAGGCTTAGCAAAACGTATGGCATAGAGAAGATGTTCAATACCCATCTACTGGATGAATGAGTGAAAGGTTAAATAGATGCCTGATTAAAGCATGTAGTACACAGAGAATACAATAGGCAATAACTAAAAATAAAGCATCCCAACCTGGACTCTGATTTTAAGGCCTCGACCTCCACGGGATGTGAGTTGGCCAAGTTACTAAGTTTCTGTGTATGTGTTTCCTTGAAATGAAACCAGAGGTAATGAACAGAGTCACAGAGCTATCCACACCATGGGAGCAACTTACTTAGAATCCCTAGTAAGCACTTAGCCACTGTAGGCCTCTGTTCTTTATCTGTAAAATAAGTTTTGACTATTTGATATGGATATCTGCTCCATCTAGTTAAGCCTCTATACTTCTAAAATTAACTGCAGTGAGAAAATAGATTAAAAATGCTTTGAAAAAAGTTAAAAGTGTTCTATACATGTGCAACGTAAGTGAAAACGGCCAGTGAGGGAAAGATAACATCTGGTCAAGAGCTTCTAAAATTATCCATCAATCATCTGAACCTTCCCTGGCTTTTAAGGATTCTTTCTTTGGAGCTGCCTATCATTTGCTAACCATATTAAAAATATCCTTATATAATATACTGTAATATTGGTCACCAACCTCAAAAACTCACTTTCTATATTTATGGCTGGTAGGTATATAACAATGAACCCATGTCATTAATGATAGCTTTAGTTATCTTTTAGTTCACAGTTTTCCATGCTTTATTAATGGCATAACACATTAATTCTTCTTTCAGGAGTGACCTTTACAACACCATTAATGCTTACAGCTTTTATCCAACTACATTATTACTCATTATAGTTTCAGCTTTCAACATCTGCCATTTGTTGAAAAGAGAAAAGCAAATTGTAGTGCCCTCAACTCCTTGGAAAATATGAGGAATATGTGTGTGGTGAAGGGATGTTTCAGGGAACAAAATAAGAGAAGTTTTTGTAGTGGAGAAAGTCAGATGACAAATATCATTAAATATATTCTTGCCTTTCTAAAATATTTTCTTATACTTAATCTTTGGAATGCTAATGTATAAAATCCTCATCTAAAAATGCAAATGCATTAGTTATTCCATTAGTTTAATATTCTAGTTCAAATGATATTACAAAAGTAACTCATATACCAACATTGTGCTATTTACTAGGATAAGCCTTCATGTCTATTATGGAAATAAATCATTCTTGCCAAATAAAGTATTGTTTTTTTACCAACTTAGGACATGAAAGCAAGTCTTTATCTTGGTGTCCATTAAGGATGTTGAGCAGAGTGACTGAGAGTTTGACCATAACAGAATGGTGCATAATAATAAAAAGCACACATGCACCCAGCCTTTTTCAGACTTCTCAGAATTTAATTTTTCATTGTTTCTCTTCTTATTGCTGCCCCACTGACCCACACTGACTTTCTGCTGGCAAATAATCTGGAATTCTACTTTGTGAAGATGGAAGCAATTGGAATACATCCCTTCAGCTTTCTTTCTATCCATTCCACAATTTCCTCACAACTTTACTTCTTTTTTTTTATTTCCTTCAGTCTTAGAAAAAACAATGGACTTTTCTCCTTTCCAAAGTTAATCCTTTCTTCTTATCTCTTATTGTTGCATCATCACTGATGCACTCTTTTATATCTATACATCTCTCCAATTCTTATTCCCTTTGAAAAATAATATGATTTTTCTTTTCAAAAACCATCACTACTCAGCATTCTCAAAATTACTTTCCAACATCAAGCTTACAAAGAGACTGGTCTATATGTCAACTGCTCTTTTTTTCCTCATATTCTTCAAATAATTGTAATTAGAATTCTGCTATACCCTTGTACTAACCCCTCTCTGAGTCTACCTACCCATGAGCTCCAACTAAATCCTAATGTTTTTATTCTTCGTGTTCTTTAACTTTTCTGCCCCATTCAGTTTTAGTTCTGGTCACTTTCTACTACACCCTCATTTTATACCTAGCCACATCAATGTTTCTCAAAAGTGTACTATTTTTTGTTTGTTTGTTTGTTTGTTTTTGTGTGTGGGTTTTTTTTTTTACAGTCTAAATTTCTAGGGCTATAACTCTTCTTCAAGGCTCCATTTGAAATAGATTATCCCCAGTTTAGCATCCCTTGATCCTTCCCAAATAGAATTCAACACTCTCCTCTTTATGACCAAAGGATTGTATCTGTGCTCTGGAATATTACTTACTATGGCTGACTTGTGCTGTTGGATGATTCCCCCTGCTCCCAACTAAACCCTGAGCTCCTTGAGGATGGGTCTGTGCTAGCCTCCTCATAACTATATACAAATGACAAACATTTTAATAAATGCATGATTAGTTAAGTGCTGTCTAATTTATGTTACTAAAATACAAACTATTACAAATTTTAAAAGCTTATAGAAGCATTTCTTCTTAAAAAATTAAATCTTTATTGTTGAAAGTATTACATATGAGAAACATTTTCTAGTGTTTGGCTACTCTACTGAAATGACAATTTTGGAGAAATGAAGCTATCAACTTTTTATAATACTTTTAATATATTCAGGTAAATTTCAAGTGGTGTGGAACTAAACAAACTTCACATCCTGATGGTTGACTGCTAAACCAGGCAGAAGGTATTTCATTATTATGTATACTCTGTACACATCAAAAAATATAAAAATAAATTTCAGTGATGGAAAAGGCAAGTCACCGACAATAGCATTCTGGAACCACTGCTCTCTGTGATTAGACATTAGGCCTCTTTTATATAAACTTAGGAACATCAGTTAGAGCAACAAACATGAGCAGTTCAATTTGATTTTCAGGAGGAAATTTTAACTTGGAGTTCAGTTACCAATTCCCATTGCACGTTAAAACAGACCTATGAGGCTCATCAAATTGGAACTCTGGTATGGAACTGAAGCCATGCACAGGGTATGTGTGATTTGCCATTAAAAGATGATTTGATTCAATTGCCACAAACAGAAAATCAGCAAGAACAAAAGAAACAGAACTTACCTATTGTGCTAACTCTGGCTGAAGGACTAGCTAATGCTGCTGGGACAGAGGCTTTGAGGGGGCCCGCCCCACTGCTTATTCTCAGAGCTGGCATATGGGGAGAGGTGGGTGATGTGGGTGATTTGCCATCAGAGGTCTTGGGTTTAGCTGATAGGTTCAGTGGCTGTGCCACTTCATCCTGCAATGATCATTAGAACATGAGTTGTGATAAGGAAAAGCTGATTACAAATGCCTAGAAAAACACAGGTAGAGTGCCTATCCTTTCCCATCAAGTTACTCAACCAATCAGTGATCTTAGCATTCAATCTGAACATCACAAATGTTTGGTCAACTGTCAAAAACGTCACTGTGAACTACATATTATGAAACACCTTTTGTATTAGATAAAGGATAAGTACACTCAACTATCCAGAAAGCACATAACTGATGTCACCTGTAAGAAATATTCTGAAAGAGCTATTATTTGTACTATTCATTTTTATCGAGAGACAATACATTGTTCATATAAAATTATGATGTAGATAGCTTTTATCCAGCCTCCAGAGAACAGGGCTTGAGTCCCAAGCATCTTTGTAGCCTGGTGCTTAGGTAGAGTTCCTGGAACATCCATGATGGAGGAGTGAAATGGTGTGTAGCTCTGATCAGAACTGCTCCCCAAATTAAATACAAAAAAAGAAAAATATAACTTTCTAATTGTTAGAAAATAACCCCTTTTCTTAAGTTTCCTAGGAGCACTTTTTGGTTTAATAAAAAACTGAAACAATATAATTAGCATTTTATTAATATGTACTATTTATGTGCAACAATGTTCTAAACATTTAACATTACATTTTTTAAAATCCAAATTTGTTTTATATATTTTCCTTACAGTCCACTACATGGTGGTATAAAGATTTGTATGTGGTCAATTCAGCAGGTATCGTGATTTTCAATTGTTCTATGCTTGCACAGGTCAAGTTTGCATAGTTCACATTTTATATTATAACTATCCATATTAGCCCTCATGAGTACAATTATCACTTAAATTTTTATTGCACTATATAAGAATCAGACACGACATTTCTTTTTTCATTACAAACAAAAAGTTATTACTTTTCTATGCTCTAAAATTAAAATATTGCATAATTTGCTTGTATTTTATTGTTTAAATTATATCCAGTTTTACGTAAGTATTATTATAGAATAAAAATATAGCTTCCTCCCGGGCCAGGTGGCTCTGTTGGTTGGAGCATTGTCCTGTACATCAAAAATGTTGCAGGTTCCATCCTCAGTTAGGGTGCATATGGGAGGCAATCAATCAATGTTTCTCTCACACCAATTTCTCTCTCTCTCTCTCTCTCTCTCTCTCAAAATAAAAAAAAAATACATATCATTGGGTGAGAATT